GAAAAGACACACACACGATCCTCCCCAAATACTCCCTCGACTTCACTTTTGGAGAAACCGTTGAAAATCGCAAACGGATGTTTGCAGAACGACCTTTTTATTCAGTAACGGTTCCCAATGACTCAAACTCGCGATAGGAGAATTTAACGACTTCCTCGATTATCCGGCTGTGGTCAATCGGGAATTTTACAAGATTAGATCAGGTTTTAATGAATATGAGCTTCCATCAATAACTAGCTGCCACCTCGTAAGTGCAACGCCAACACAAAACCTGGAGACGGTGATCTTAACTTAGGAAAACCTGCGTTAAAATTGCTGGTCCACCCCCACGGCGGCCCTGGTCAACACACGCATGTTGTGTTTACGCTCACTCACGCGGTCGTCCGACAATCACGAGAGCGCCGTGGTCACATCCAACAAACCCCCTTCCTGCTAGTTAAGCCCAAACCAACCCGAATCCCTTAAAAGCTGTTGGTGAGTCGGCGGCGGCTGCGGCGAAGCAAGGCTACTGTTTCCACGTAAACCCATTGACTAGAATAAGAATTAGATTTCATTATGCACATGCGCATTTATGTATATTTTTGCGGTAGGAATGCAAATCAGAGTGATTGTCGATTGAAGAGTTGTGTGTCCACGTCAAACGCCTCGCGTTTTAGATCTTCACGTAGATTCGCGTGCTCACAACATCACCAACCTGAACGACCTGCACGGAAACAAAGCCAGGTCTTTGCAAACACGAGAAGGCAGGCGGATGATGAAAATTGGGATGGAGATGACTTACCGTTTTCAGTTTGTTGCCCTCAACGACACGATCGATGTAAGTGGTTTTCTCGCCAACCTGAACCTGTTTCAGAGTGCCGCCTTTAATCGTGATGGTGGATTTGACAGTCCGGCCGTCTGGAGTTTCCTCCGTGAACTCCTCACCCAACTTAAATTCAAACTCGGTGGTCTTAAAGGTGCTTTCCGACCGCATTTTGTACTTTCCTTTACCAAGACTGGAGACAATGTAGGTTGGTCGTGAGTTATTGCAGACTTGGCGTGTGAGGAAGCCCACTCCGAGTTCTTTCATCACATTGTCGAAATTCTCGCTCGTTTCCAACTGCCACGACCCCAGAAACGGCTCCATCAGTCAATCAACTCCACAAATCACTGAGCATCGGACACGATTCACCTTAAATAGCTCTCACTGAATGTGTGTGGAGCCAAGCGCTCGCACATGGTTCGTGGAGGTCGCTAATCATCTATAATCAACCAATAGGATAGGGGCAATCGCCAGGACACCTGTGCATGCGTGCGTACGTGTGCAGAGGCATGACCTTTGAGAGCTTCTGGTTAGCTCTGATCAGCGCGCAATTAAGGAGGTTCTTACCCATCTATCAGCAGTGGTTATTAATTTATCAATTAAAAATGAAACAAAAGCCCACCGAGCAATTTATTTTAACTCATGGACAGAAGCGTGTTGGGTAACCTCAGTGGCAACTAATAAACCCAGTTAATTTTTCCTCAGAATGCACTCCGAATGCCCTGACTACGCGGATTATTTGAGGTGAATAAGCTAGGATACTGGCGTGAAGCTTGGACGTTTGCATCAATTACGCCAAGCATAGGTTTTTGTAAACGATCAAGTAAGCGTGTCAGATATATTTGATGATGCCTGGTACCACCGTTCAGACATTCGTAGTGGCCAGGAATGCCAGAGGCGACGA